ACCCAACAGATATTTTCGGAGACTACCCCCAAGCACGAAGAGCACCGCACCTTCTAACCTTAAATGTCAAACAAAAGAAGGCAGTTGCAATATCATACTCAAGTTTGTAGAAGAGCATGTTTTAAAAAATATGCATGTATTCAGCAAGAACACATAAACCGAAACGTATCATTCCAAAGAAAGTGCTAAAAAAAGGCTAATCAATACTTCGACGTTTCTGCAGTGCAGGCAGACATTTTAAACGCTTGGGTATATTTAAGTAATCCTCACCCTACGCGTAATGATCCAATGTCTGTCAAATCAAAAGATTATAATTTATAATACGAATTTTCCCCCACCCTCTCCAGGAGTCGATCTGTTTCGCTCGCATAAATCCGAACTCTACAAATAAGGAAACAAAAAGTAAAAACAAAACACAAAAACCCCCCACAAAAAATGACTATCTGTTGTAGTTAAAAAATAATCCCCTGCTTTTTCGTTAAAACGGCTGCCTTTGGGGAGCATTTTAAGTTCTGCGACCAATTCGATGCACGCGAGAAAGTGTCACGTGTATTGCAGCATTTTGTTTCGATTTTCGTTTTTTTTTTTTACAAACTGAGTGCAAGAAGTTCTTACAGGGAGCTACAATTTCCCTATCACACTACCCTTCTACATACCTTCACATATATCAACTTAATACTTGCTATCATGTTTAAACCTAAATCTATCTATCTATATTTCTATCTATCTATCTATCTATCTATCTATCTATCTATCTATCTATCTATCTATCTTATTTTAAAAATTTGTAAGTGTTTTACAGCTCTCGCAACTGCATAAGGCCATATGATACTTTTAGTTGGTAAGAAATTTTGAACTTTGCCCGGGTGGCTGCCACAGCCTACTCTTATCGATGTAGACCACCAAGGGATCTTTAAGGTGCGCAACTAGCTCACGGAACCTCAATGATTTTTTGCCCTTGTCCGAGAAGGCTCGGTGTAGATATTTCCTACAAGAACATCAGGGGTGTGACCGAAAGACAAACAGTAAGAAGAAGCCAAGGAGTATCAGGCGCCCAGAGGAGGGAGCAAAGGATATGAGGGGCGGGAACATAAACTGGAGACGAAAGCAGACAACAGAACATTGTTGGAGAGCAGGAGAGGAGGTGAAAGAGGACGATTTTAGAGAAGAAACATTTTCCGTTGCTACCCGGATTCGAACCCGGGACCTTTGAATGAGAGGCCAACACCTTAATCTCTAGGCCACGAGAGCCCCCTATCTATCTATCTATCTATCTATCTATCTATCTATCTGTCTATCTATATATCTATCTATTACGTACCAACTTAAATAACTATCAACAAGGAAGAGACAGCTGGCCGAGAGTGACGTTAAGGACATTAACATCGAAAACCTCTCCGTGCCCAACTAGGCTACGCCTTATCCATAATTCACACTTCAGAACTAGTCTCAACTGAACTGAAAGTAACAAGCCAAATTGAATTATCTAACCGCTAGACCGGGAGGCAAGAGAGGGCGCTGTTATCACAGAGACCAGTTCCCTCCACTGGACACCTACACCTTAGTTCCATCCCCCACCCCCCACCCCCCAACGTGATAGCCCTGGCCAGTTACACAACGGCATAGTAATAATATTAATGTGGGTTACTTTAATAATAGAAGCCTCCCTGGTTAGCGAGCATTGTCCTCAGGAGATCAGGGGACTTGAGACGAACATTACGGTCGGTTGATATTGGAACAAGCATCCACGAATAAGCTAATAATTATATATCGTATTGTTAAAAATATGCTTCATGTTCGTGTGTGCGTGTGTATGTGTGTGCGCGTGTTTGTGAGTGTGTGTTTGTGAGAGAGTGAGGGTGCAAGTGTGTGAGTGTGTGTTTGTGTGTGTGTGTGTGTGTGTGTGTGTGTGTGTGTGTGTGTGTGTGTGTGTGTGTGTGTGTGTGTGTGTGTGTGTGTGTGTAAGATAACTTGTCAACTATCACACTCCCATTTGTGTTTACATAAAGGGACTGCAAAAAAAGTATAGTATGTTGCTATTGAAAAAATAAATCTAATCCTTGTTATCATATTATATTATATTATATTATATTATATTATATTATATTATATTATATTATATTATACGAGTACCCGGCTTTGCTAGGGGTCGACGCCGCGGACGCATTTTACATCTACATTGCTGTTTAGCCTTTCACAGTCATACCTGGCTTCTAGATCTATATTGATTTAGATTAAGTCTGCCCTGATGAACTCCTCTCTTGATCTCCATTGCTTTAGTGTATTGCTGTCTAGCCCTTCACAATCACAAAATACGGGTTTCGCCTTACACCATCACAAAAAAGCACAAAGAAAATAATAATCCACGAAAGGGCTGCTACACTGTGTAAAAAGAACACACCGACGTCTTCAAAATCAGAGGCAGTAACTATTGCTGGTTCATTTCCCTCTGACAGCGTTAAAAAAATGTCTAGCTCATTGACAAAATTACCTATACCCACGAAACTTTGCCTGGCACTTCTACAGGCTAACGACCAAACAAATTTTTTTTTTTTTTAAATCCTGACCCAGTAATAAAAACGTTTTTCTCTTTTTTAAAAGACTATGGGTGTCAAAGACATACAAATAGGCATACTTTAACATGATGAAAAGCAATTAAAATGTTCATAGTCACTCAATCCATCATTCCTTAGACCAATATAATCTGAAACATCGCGTTATCTTCGCATGAATATACAATTTACAATGTTAGGAACATATGTTCATGCTGTAAGTGTTGACACCACACTCTCACTATACAAAACTTCTCCGTGTTATATATACAGTCAGAAATTAATGCAAGCAATACAAAAGGAGGTATTTTTGCCCTGAGCGGATTTCAATTGGAGCGACCAAAATCAAATATTTTAATAATGTATATAAAAAGCATATAAAAGGAAATAAGCAACTGTTAGCTTTCTGAAAGAAAAGCAGAAGAAACTAAATCGTGTAACTGTACATAATGTGTGGAGCCAATTGCAAATAGAAGAACTTCAAGGAGTACAGCTCAGTTATTTGAAATATTATATGGTCAAAATATCTGAGACTGCAACAAACTGTTTTATTATCGTATTTAGGGACTTCCATAACAGTCAGCAGTACAAAAATAGGATATCAACTGATTGCAGAGCATCTAGCTCTGTTACTTTGTCATCTGTACCTTGCTCATGCCACTCCCTTCCCCCCACCCAACTTATAAAAGGGTATTCATATTATTATATTGTTTATATGCAATGTTTTTGTATTGCTAGTGTAATCGGTCTATAAAAATGTCGGTGTAACAATTTGAACTTGATCCAAATTACACCACAACCTTTTTACACTAATCACTTTCTGGTAACAGAAAACCCGTGCTGGAAGGCCAGAGATCAATATTTCAGATCCACATGATTCGTTACACAAACTTACTTGTTTTTATTCTATTCAACGTCATTGAACTGTTTCTATTATCACAACGGGGTCATTAAGCTTCAGTTTGCTCTAAAACATTCATTCGGCACAATTGCTTACATTTCTTTCCTATAAAATAATTTATAAACGTGAAGTGATAATGTTATTTGTTTTCTCTAACCAGGCATGTGCGTCAAACAAAAACGTCTTAGGAGTAATAATTTTAAAATAGAATAGTGATCTCCAAGCAGGTGAATAACTGTAATATAAACCGACATCACATGGACCGTTCGGCGAGTCTCCCCAACAACTGCTCTAGGGTTATAGCACAAACGTGCTCCAATGCCAGCGACGTGGGCGCCCAGAATTCCCTGTGTTGTAAAAAACAATCTGTTTCGATTAACAATTCATTAGGCGGGTTCCAGTTCAGTCGATTTCTGTTTTCCCTAAGCTAGGAGACAAGACTCTATTGTTGGAGATCAGTGAGGTGCTGCGAAAGAACAGCGACCAAACAGAGAGAGCAATCAACTTCTCCAACGCTGATATTGATAGGGTCTTGATGAAAGCATACTTATCGAGTTGAAACAAGGAAGCTAGCAAAGATCAATGGAAACACGTCATTGAGGCTTTTTATTATTTTTTTAAATTCTGCTGTTTTGGTTTTTTGCGGTTTTATTTCAACTTTTAATTTTACAATTACTGCACGCCTGTATAATTCTTGATTAATTATTTTGCCGTTTTTGTATGCCTTCTGCGACTTTTCCTTTGGAGGAAAAGGCCACCACGGAGGGCCTTTTCTGAACTATTCACGCCATCGAGAAATCAATTACTGGTATGTTCTAATATTCATTTTATGCGCGGTACTCTTGACAGTTGCAAAAACCTACCTTGAGACAGTCATCTTCTAAGTGTTTCTATCATGTTAGATTGCGAGTTGCAGAGCAGATAAGGCAGTGAAGTGTTTACGATTACAGATGTGTAAGTCAATGCATATGACAAAAAAGACCCCCCAAAAAATCATCCTATTGATCTTTCCGACTAGTATTGTTTATTCTTAAACTATGTCTAATGCATGCATGTGGTTGTGAGCTAGAATATATTACAGAATTGTTTATAGGAAAGCAAAATGTATCCCAGATTCCACCACTTCCATCTTGCCCTATTATTGCAATAACGGTTTTTGTTGGTGGGGTTTTATCATCAGAATACGTTTGTCTTACCATGTTCGTGCCTACACCCCATTGTAGCTTATGATAATGTTCATGGAAAAAGAGATGAAACTGAACAATAAATTGTATAGATTATTTGTATTGATAGGTTACTTAATTTCATTAATGCAGATTTTGTGAAATGTACATTTAAAAGTGCAATGTCACGTACTGAAGTTTGCTCATGCATTTGGTAAATGTGAACTGGGGAAAGAACCTAAGAGTCAGGGGAAAAATTTCTACGTATACGTGACTTAAGTTAGGATTCAGAACATTCACATTCATCTCTTAGATTATGATTCAGTAGGAGAACATAGAATTAATTAACCATAGGGGGTTAAGTTGTGACGTCACAATACTCACCAGCAGACATGATGGCCAGCAGAAGTAATCCAAACAAGGAAAAGGTGAAGGTCGCCTGCGTGCCCTGACCCCGACCTAATTCATCAGTCACTCCCATTGTGTGCGAATGTTCACATCACGCCGACAGGGGCACATTGCATCTAACACAGTGGCATGATAACAAGAAAGCATGCTAGTCTTCTGTCACATTCACAAAGTGTAAGTGAAGCACATACTAGTCTCCGAAAAACAATGCACGTCCTCGTCTTTTCAAAGAAATAACCGGTCCAAACACATCGTAGTATCCCAGAACACCTCTCCCATTGATCACACGTTCAGTTGAATTACGAGCATCGAGACCACCTTCAGAGACGACCTCCTCGCAAATGAAGAGAGACAATCAATCCGAAAGGTCAGTGACCTTTGATCCAGCAGGACACCGCCGCTCTGTCCGTTGTGATGGTGTTGACCACAAATACTCCACAACAATGTCGCCAATTAAGCGGCGCACGTCTCTACAGAGGGGAGGACGGAAAGTCCAGGGTTCGGAGCTTCCGTACACGTTCAACACCTCTGAAAAAAGAAAGAAAAATGCGAAACAGTTGCATGGCTTCTCAGAAACAAAAGATTTGCTGCTTCATAACATGTAATAACTTGCTGAAGGAAACAAAGGCGAATGATTTACCAAAGAAAGAATAATGTTTCTTCCAATCGTGGGTGGTTCACGTACAAAAAGCTCGTTCAGCTTGTGATGTACGAGGTGTTTATTTTTAATCAATGAAACAAGAGGAATGGGGGAGATAATGGCATGCTGATTTCGATTCAATTTGTAGAGACGTTTTTGGGATAAACCCAAAGAGAGGAATGGCGTTTAAGAAGGTAGAATTATTAAAACCTTTAATGGATTCATCAATGTTTCGAGTCTTTTTGTTTGGATATGATTTTTCAGCCATGGTCACGAGAATAAATCACTCATACACTTATGGAAAAGACGAAGCTTGTTGCGGAAGGTGGTGTGAACGTGCCTTATTTCAGACACGTTTATTGAACTTATGAAGTGCACACTATAATTATGTAGGAAGAAAAAATACACGGAAGTCACAGGGGTGTGGTACATTGTAGAAAAAGGCATCCCTTTTTTTTGCCCAAGCTGCATGATAAAGAGAAAAGTGCTGTTGTGAAGATCATGTCTCCTGGAACAGGATATCGCAGATAAACCAGATGAGTGTGGGTAGGGAGCTTGAATGGAGATATAGAGTAAAAGCTAATGAATATTGAAAAAGAAAAAAAAATATTGAACGATAGACATGCCAATAAACACGAATACAGCCAATTATTTTCCCAGATAGAGTATATTCAAGGTTGGTGACCACGTCAGCATAAGTCTAGTTTCTGACTGCTCTCTCTCTCTCTCTCTCTCTCTCTCTCTCTCTCTCTCTCTCTCTCTCTCTCTCTCTCTCTCTCTCTATCTATCTATCTCTCTCTTTCTTTCTCTCACTTTCTCTCTCTCCCTCTCTTTCTCCCTCTCTTTCCCTCTCTCCCTCTCGATCTCACACTTTTTCTCTCTCTCTCTCTCACACACGAGCACACAAATGCACACACAAACAAATACAAACTCACACACTTTCTCTCTCTCTCTCTTTCTTTCTCTCTCTGCCCCCCCCTCTCTCTCTCTCTCTCTCTCTCTCTCTCTCTCTCTCTCTCTCCTTTCTCTCTCTTGTTCTCTCTCTCTCCTTCTGTTTTATTTATTGATCACTTTCCTTTTGATCTTTCTTTCAATTCCATTATACTTCCCTCTCAATATTATTAGATAACTTGAAACGTATTCTTAGATGTTCTATTCGATTGTGATTGCGTGCTTGTATACATGAGTTTTTGTACTTGCATCAACGGCTTTGTTTCGAGGACTTTTTGGAACGAGTTCAAAACCAAACTAGAAAGAACAGGTCATATTTCCAAGGTGGGCTGGATTTTATTTGACAGAGCCCGCGGCAAGCAGACATAGTTAGCAATAAACGAAAGATCTTTTCATACCCCTCATGATGCACAATTACTTTCTAGTGACAGCTCCATGTGCATTAAACGTCACTCAGTTAATATTATAATAATATCATTGTCTCTGAACTACTTTAAAAGCGTTCAACATTGATTATTGGAAATGTGTAGCGTCGTTTTTCATTCTGCACTAAGGTCATATAGATGCTTGTAAAGTACCAAGTTAGGGGAGTTCAGAACAGAAAAAATACTTTCCCAACAACTCAATTTCGGTGATTTGTACTTTGTTTGTGCATGTTGTTACACCATGCACTTTATATTAGGATACAACTATCTGTAAAAATCAAATAAAGCTCTATATTTTGAACTACGTGACTCAGATCTAGTACAAAATATCCTGGGTTATTGCAGGGGGGGGGGGGGGGGGGTCAAGGTGGGATGAAGCTCTGTCTTACCGGAAACAGCGGCCAGTGTTCGCCGTGGTGCGCAAAGACATTGGAAGGAAGAATTGGGGGGGGGGGGGATTTTATTTGTACCGTTCACGATGACAGTCAGACAGCAAATCAGGTGGGGAGCACAAACTGAGCAATTAATAATTATGTTTCAGCTCCTCCAGGCCGGCTCACAGTTTTGTCTCCAGCGCTTTAACTTATTACCATGCACATGCTCTTAGGATTGTAAAGCGCGGGCAGTGCTGCAGGATACCATAAAAGTGGCTCATCTCTGGGCCCTGGCCATATTAACATGGGCTGTGTCTCCAGCTCTAAACGTGGAGTGTATAAAGTAGGTGGTTGATGGGTGCTCTGGTGTGGTTTGCTCCTTCTTTCCTATCAAACAACTATCGTCCATATCTCGCCTCCTTCTTTTTTGTGTTTGTTACTCTCTTGTAACACATCTATTCTTCGGCACTTATTATGACCGTATTGTGTTGCAAGTGCAGTAAACCTCGTACTAAAACTAAAACTAAACTTGGAGGGTAGGCTACTTTTACCCAATTATCTACCCGTGCGGAACTCATGTCTGACGGCTCCTAATCCTGCCCGCCGCCCGCAGGGTACATCCCTTCACATCCGCATTGCACTCCCTTGTCGTTACTCTTCCCATCCACCCCAAACCCTGGAGAACTGGAGGCGAAACGTGACTATCGTCAGTCTGGGATGATTTACAGATATCACTCGCTGACCTGACCGCACGCGCTGTGGGACCTTGCCCGCCGTCAGACTGTATCACGTGCCTCCATGTCTTTCGCGACGTATCTGCCTCGTCAATGTTATTCCCACCACAGGGCATTTGCATTTAATGTACGAGACACGCAAGTGAAACGAATATCCTTCGAAAAATCTAAATTACTAGCCAAGTTGTATACATTTGTTTTGTCCGGTTATCTTGTTATATTATTCATTCGATGCGCGCATATGTATAAATCCTTTGATTTTGATAAATACTTTGTGGCTTTATACGGCTAAATTTTGTACAGTGGCAAACTGTCATTTTGGTAATCTTACTTTTGATGAAAAAGAATATCCTATTTCAGTAGTTATAGCACATTGGAACTACCTTTAACGTATGGTATGGTGGATATCACACCTCTTTCAACACTGAGTAGAAAGATCGCTGAATGTAAACGTCTGTCTCTGACATGAGCGTGATATTGAGGTGGATAGCCCTGAAAACTGTCTAAACAACCGATGTTAAAAAAACCCTGCTCTTTGGGGATTTGACCACGGTCATCTGCACCATAGCCCAGCATGACACCAACTCAGCTATCGGATAGCCACTTTCAGCACACGAGTCATACTTGCTTCCCATCGCGGGTCTTGGTTAGGAATAGGTTATGTGTTTCAGGCCAGCAGATTGTAAGGAGAACGTAAATGGAAGACACTTGGTTGCCTGTGATGTTTAAAGCCTCGTCCCGTTCTCCTACCCGTAACCCTTCATCTTTTTTGCGTAACAGGCCTTTTTTCCACTAGGAAACGAGACTAGTTCTGTCTAACTACAAACAAATAACTCTCGTTGCATGCTGTTCTCGTCCAGCAGAGCTAATAAATAATCAAACCATTGTGAGAGGGTGTGATACCCTAAAAGTACCTTACCATACCTACTACCCAAAATGTTAATACATCCTTTCCTAACTATGTTCTTTACACTATAAAAAACGGAATGTCATTTAGGTAAGTACATGATACATAAACGGGACATCTATTCCTACGAGACTCGCTTTATACCGAGAAGTAATGGGCCGTGCCAAGACACCAGATGAGAAGCTAGAATACTGCTGTGGTCATTAAACATCTGAAGCTCTTCCAGTCCTGGTAGTTTCTGACCTTTCAAGATAATTTGCGTTAAAAAGCTGCTTATCCTTTCAAATTGCTCGCTTTTCTCCACGCATTCCTCTGTCATCTGGAAGTTTTCAGGTCTTCTTCTATCTACGTATTGTATCCTCGGTTTCAGGTATCGCTTTTGGCTCCGTACTGGTCTTGGCTGGCATGGTGGCAACATTCTCAGTGGACCAAAACGAGGAGGCACCGAAGGCTTGCCGCTCACTCGTTCGGAGGACCATCAATTCTGCGACTCACTCGTCACATTTCTCGCAGGTCAGGAGGGAAAGGCGTGGCCGGCGGTAAGACGTCGCTGGGCAACGCGCCCACATTGTGAGGGATTTCTTGGCATTGATGGGAAACAGTGTGCGAAGTCGGTGGCTTAGCACGTACTCGAAAATTTTCTGACCGGGGAAGAGTTTCTATTTGCTTATTTTCGTTTGCACTATCATTTATCGCCTTGTTATTAACACTTTTTGTAAGGAATGTGAGAAACGATATACATATTTATTGCAAGTAAGCACCAAGTGTACTCAGCTGAAAGCGAAATCGGGATAGCTTAGAATAAACATGTCAAAATGTTTCAAAGAACTTTCCAAAGAAAAAAAGTATGTGTATATGTGTGTGCGTGTGTGGTTTTGGATTGGGGGCGGGGGGGGGGGGGGGGGTATTTAAAAGAAAACATCTGTACACAAATTATGTTGACGTATTAGGTTGAAAGCCACTTTTGCAACAGCCGTCACCACAAAGTTTGCTCCTTGTATTCTCTCTGTCAAATACCATTTGAATAACAAAACACTTGAGGATCCCATACCACTCTGTTTGCTCTCCAAAGGAGGCGGAGGAAAAGAAGGTTAAAATAAAAAACATAAGTTCAGAAACATCATAACATTAACATTGGTAGAAACCTAAAATGCTCATATCATACTATCTCCTTGATCAAAGTCACGCCCACGTAATAGCCTTTAATAACTACTCTATCTCCTCGTAGGAGTGCTAATGTACTGGTGTCTGCAGACTCATTCACCCTCAAGTGTGGGTGGTTAGCGGGAGCTGTGGTGTGGTTTGCTTTATCAAACACCTATCGTCCTTATCTCCCTTCTTCTTTTTTATTTTTGTTACTCTCTTGTAACACTTCTAATCTTCTGGCGCTTATTTATACGTCCTTATGCAGTTGCGAGCGCCGTAAAACCTCTAATAAAACTAAACACCCTCAAGCAGTTCAATTGATACAGAAAAAAGGAAAACATAGGAAAAGGA